ACATCAACAGGAATTCGGCTCACACAATCCAGGGCACTCGGACAGAAGGCATTGGATTTCCTAATGGAGAAAACGAAGATCACAACTCCGGTGAAAGTCACAAAGGAGGTGATCAAAGGACAGGATGGCAAGGAGGAAGAGGTGGACGTATGGGAGTACCCGGAACAGGATCTGCAAACACTCCATGATCTGTATCAGCGACATGCAGTTCTGTTTAACTTCGCAGGCAAGAACAGGGAGCTGTCACTGAACGATAAAAGGAAGTGGGTAATGGAGAAGCTCAGGGGTTTGGAAAACATACCGGGCATTGAACCTGAAGTCTCTTATCATAAAAGAGGGAGATACACAGTGATGATAGTATGCGTGGACCCAGCTTACGCCCAGTACCTGTTATCTCTGGGGTCACTCAGATGTCATGGGTCGGTGGTCACAATTCAGGCTTGGAAACCACCGCAGCCACCTCCAACAGAAGCATCAAGACACAGGCAGACAATGATGAGAGATAATTTCTGGGTGCAGTTCGATAATCTCTCGGAGGGCATGCACAGCTTTGTACAGCAACGCCTAAACGAGGAATATCCGAACAATCCCATTATAGAGTGGCTACCCGCGAATCCGGACTTCCTAGCTCCCAACCACGACTCTCGGGTGGTGTGTCTGGAGGTCAAATCTGGGGCACCACCTAAGTTCCCGGAGGTGTGGATATTCAGGAAAAGAACAGAACGGATCACGATATTCATCTCCTCCAAATCAAACCCGTTCTACTTCAAATGCAGAGCAAGAGGGCATCTGGGAATGCACTGTCCTCAGTCAGGTACGGGATCGGGAGGGAAGCAGCCGCAATTAAAGCAGTCAATGCTGGTGGAAGCGGACAACGAACCAGGGGTCTGGTATATCAACTCGTCACAATACAGAGGGTGGATCTTCGACGACAATCTGGAAACACCCAAGTGGGTCTGGGTTTTAAACAGCAGTCCCACGGTGAAGCCAAACATCTACCTGCCGTACGATAGCCATTGGAGACAAGCCGGGGCGAAACGCATGGAAGACAAAGAAGTAGGCTTCATAATGAAGCCCATGATCGATGAGGACACAGTGTTGGACGACAAACAGCATTTGCAGATTATGGCCGAACTGCACAAGCTGGGACAATAGGCAGAACTGGCCTTCCTGGAAAACAGGAGGGCAAGGGAGGAGGCAGAAAAGATAACAGGTGAAGAAAAGGGAAGGGAAGGAGGCGAGGGGGAGGGTAGTAGTAACTCCCAGGACAACGGAAAGAACACTAAGGAACAGAACATTGAGAGGGAGGTAACCAGGGGGGGGAAGGAAGATGGGGGCCCACAGGCGTCCACGAAGAGGAAACTTCGGGACCGGGAGGCAGCAATGCCAACAAGCTCAAGCCAGGACGCCAAGAGATCCAACACAGGAGGAGGGGAAGAGGAAGATCCAGCGGCGCAAGGAAAACAGCAAGGAATGGACACGGAGGACACAACGTTAGAGTTAGGCAAATCACAGAACGAGCAGATGGATACGTCGTCCTCAGCAACGGCGGAATCAGCAGCAGCCTCAGCAGCAACTTCAGCAGCGGCATCAGCGGCATCAGCCCCTCGAGGGAGGGAGGACACGTCCTCAGGTAGAAGCAGCTCAGCACACAACCGACATAAGGACGGGGGGGGAGAGCCAATGGAAGTCTCAGCAGGAGGCTCTCAGGAAGGGGGGATCAGCGGGTCAGAGGAAGAAATGAATCAGGACACGGACGTCGAATCAGAGGAGGACACTGAGGGGGAAGAATGGGAAGACGCAGAAGGGGATGAGGAACCAGAAACTTTGGCACAGTGGATCAGAACAGTTCACAAGCTGAGATGGGAGCGACATGTCGAGTGCGAGGTTCGCCTGGCACACCACAAGCATMTGCGCAACCTGAAACAAGCAACCACAGCAGGGGAAGACATCACCTCAACCAACAGGTTCGAGTATTTGAAGAAGGAACAGGAGATCAATGAGTTCTACGCTGCGCAATACRCTTGGAARGCACGCCCAGACAACAATGAYCTCWCTGTYCACAACGCGAGCTAYGCCAAGCAATTCATATGGCCCAAAACCTATCAGCCACAGGGCCTAAAGAGATCGGAACATAAAAGAAAAGCACAGCAGGAGGCAGCGGACAAGGCGAGCAACAAGGAGCAGGGAACGGAAGACTCATCAGGAGAGCTCGAAGAGAGGGAGCAGATTGAGGAGGAAAGGAGAGAGGCAACAATCTTGGAGGCTCAAATCAATGTTCTCAAGGATCAGAACAGAGAACTGGGGTGTGACACCATCAATTTGCAAAAAATAGCTTATGCCCCGCATCCTGACATAAATGCAGCAGCCAAACTCTTCGCAAGGCACAGCCCGGGGAGGCGAGTTGTGTTGCCATACCGCTGGAACAGTGGTAATTCAGACTGGGAGGTAGCTATCCATCGGTCACTAGCTCTGATCACAGCGAGGGACAGCCGGTGTACAAGGGCTGAACTCGGGGAACGGATCATGAAGGACTTGCCTGACAAGGCGCAGCTATGGGGTAGTACCACTGAGGACAGGGAGGAGTGGGAGGACACAGCGGGAGGCAAACTGACGCTGGACTACAGACCTCGTCTTCGAGCTACAGGAGAGGGCAAAAGTGGCAGAGGGACTCATATGGATGCCATGGCAGGTGGTGGAAACGATACCTTATGGTCTTCTGGGCGGCGCAGAAGTAGCTGAGTGGGTGGCAAGGGGAGCAGAGATCGTCACCCGAACTGGAGTCTTCACCTGGCTGCCGGACTACATAGGGGAAAAATTGGCTCACATGGTCGAGGAGGTGGACTGGGCACAAGGGGACCCGTGAGGTGATCGTCCCCCCAAGCGACTCCCGTAAAAGATAGACCAGATGGCAGAGAGGTCTGAGGGAGGAAGTCTCAAGAGAAGAAGAGTAACAATAGGGAAAGGGGAAAGGGAAGCAGAGATTAGGGTAGTATCGTGGAATGTTAACGGCATGGCACAAATTCTGGAAAACAAGGATAAATGGAACAATGTAATGGAAGCCACAGAATGGTTTGGAAGAAACCTGCCAGACTTTCTTTGCATGCAGGAAACTCACCTGACCAACGCCCCGCACCACCTAAGCCTGCAGCAGAAGATATTAACGCAGCTAAGATGGGTGAAAGTGAGCTACTGGGCCTGGGCGGCAAGGTCACATTCAGCGGGCGTAGTAATCTTACAAAACAAGAGAACGGCTGCGGCAAACAAGATATCTCTACAGGAGGCCGTAGTGGAGGAAGGGGAGGGGCATTGGATAAAACTCAACTTCTCCTACCAAGAAGAGCAGTTTGCCCTTTTCACAGTTTACTGCCCCAACTCACAGCGCGACAGATCTGAAATGCTTCAACAGCTGCAGTCTCACATGGAGTCTACAAGACATAACATAATGGTGGGGGATTGGAATGCCACACTGGAACTAAGCAAGGACTGATTGATGGGAGGCAACTCGGGAATGGGGGATGAAACGTGGGGAGACGAGGCTTCGACAATTCACGACCTCATGACGGCCTGGTACCTAGTGGATCCGTTTCGATTACACTGGCCGGACCAGAAACAGTTCACATACGTCAAAAGGAATCGTAGCCAACATATATCAGCTTCGCGTATAGATTTTTTCCTTATCTCCGAGGGGCTAATAGGAGCATTGCAGTCGGTGAAGATAGGAGACCTGCCACACTGCAGCTGCCTAGACCACAAGCCTATCTCCATGGACCTCACCTTGAATAAGTCTTCCCAGAGAGGAAGAATCTTCTATAAGGTGAACAACTCCCTACTGAAAACACCGGAGTTGAGGGAGGCTATTCTGCGGGTATGCCTGGAGCACGATAGTGAGAAGCATTCCTTTCCAGACCTAATAAAGGCCCTATCAGGGGCTACGACAGCGGTGTCTAGACAGCTAGCGGCTAGAAGAAAGGCCAGGGAGAAGGATTTACAACAAGCTCTTCGCATAGCGGAAAGGAACATGGTCTGCAATCCTGGCACGAAATTGTATGAAAAGATCATGGAATCAGCAAGAAAAGACCTAGGAGACTGGGAGCGTTGGAAGGCAAGAGGGCTACAGATGAGAGCTAGAATAAAAAAGTGGGAAGAGGGAGAGCGCATGACAAAGTATTTCTTTCAAAAGATCAAAGCTAGGGGCAGAAGCACACAGATTGAGAAACTAGAAGGCCCACAGGGAGTAGTATCAGACCCTGAGGGTTTACTGGAGGTGGCTAGTAATTTTTACAGCACTCTTTATAAATCCAAGGAGGGAGACCAGGACCCAAGATTGGTAAAGCAGACCCGTGACAAGTTTTTAGCATACTTAAACCGCACGCTTAAGAGCGAACAAATTCTAATGTTGGAGGCCCCTTTATCGCAGGAAGAGCTGAGGGAAGCACTTGACTCTATGACCCCCAACAAAACGCCGGGAAAGGACGGACTAACAAGAGAATTCTGGCAGGAGTTTTGGGAAATACTGGGCGGAGAATACGAGACCTACCTGAATCAAGCCTGGTTGAATGAGGGCCTAGGAATAGAAGCCTCGACGGGAATAGTCACGCTTCTCTACAAGAAAGGKGACCCTAAGGATATCAAGAACTACAGGCCGATCACGYTGTYGACTCTTACCCACAAAATTATCGCCAAAGCTTTAGCCAATAGACTGAGGAGGATAACGGATAGATGTTTTCACCTTGATCAAACAGGCTTTGTTCCGGGGAGGTTTATCCTGGACAACGTGATGACCCTCTCAGAATCGGTCAGATACATAGCGAACAAAAGATTAAATGCGGCTATCCTCTTCTTCGACTTCGAGAAAGCTTACGACCAGGTCAACTGGTCGTTCCTACAGCAATGCATGGAAAAGATGGGGGTGGGACCCAACTTCYGTAAATGGATAAGAGTATTGTACAACGACTCTCACGGGCAAGTGCAGGTCAACGGTCACCTCTCCGGGAAATACAAAATGACCAGGTCAGTCAGACAGGGGGACCCCTTGGCGGCCCCGATCTTCCTCTTCATCATGGAGGCCATAGCCTCCTTCCTCAGGAAGGACCCCTCGATAGACCGGTTGGTAGCCGRACCTGACCAGCAGGGCCGATTCATTAACTTGCCTACCACAATACTGTTCGCTGACGACCTTACYGTCCTGATCAGGGCCACAGACTCCTCCTTTCGGGCCCTCACGAAAGCTATGGAAGCCTTCCAACTGGCCTCGGAAATGAAAATCAATTGGCCCAAGACGCTGGGCTGGTGGCTCACATTTGACGACTCTCAGACCCACCCACAGCCCGCCAATCAYGGGGGTATGGAGTGGGCACACCCACAGCAGCCTTTGAGATATTTGGGGATCAGGCTAGCRGACACGGGCCCCCACCATTCCATGGCCCCTGAGCAGATGACTAAAACACTAACAAAACTGGACGCTTGGTCAAACATCTATACCTCGCTATTCGGTAGGGCACTAATCCTCAACGCCTCCATCTTCTCTACTCTATGGTACGCGGGGACTATTTGGTCACCCCCGGGGTGCTCTTTACGTAAGCTYAGAAGGGTAGCGGCAGCTTATCTGTGGACCGGGAATCCAGCCAGAGACAGCTTCATYCCCAAAGTAGCCTRGAGGCAAGTCATACAGMCCAAGAGTAAGGGGGGGCTGGGCATCCTAGATCCTGAACAGCARATAAAGGCACTCCAATCAAAGTGGGTCATCAAGCTAATCTCCCAACCTCACCTTCGTTGGGTCCCTTTGGTCCTGGAACACATTCGAGGACTTGCCAGGTATTCTACCCCTTCCAACATGGAGGGGACCTTCTGGATCTTTTGCAAGGGATGGTCGAAGAAGGGCAGAAGGGGGGGACAGGAGGGGGAAGAAGACTCTGCTTCCTCCTTGTACTGGGTCAGGATCCTAAAAATCTGGGAGGAGATATTTCCGGCTAGAGTAAGGAGTCCCAGGTCTAAGGAGGAGGTCCTCAGGCAGCCTCTATTCTGCAATCCCTGGCTGAAAGATACCCAAGGGAAGCCAAGRACACTGACAGCAAGGGACACCAGATGGGGCAAATGGGTGGARCACGGAGTGTGGCAGATCAAGCACCTGTGGTCCCAAGAAGAAGGAAGGTGGAAAACAGGAAGGGAGCTAAGAGYCTCGATGAAGGGCTGTCACAGGCTCACAGAAAATCTGAACGACATCCTGGTTTCCGTCCCACAGGAATGGACCCAACTGCTGAGAGCACCGTACAAATGGACAGGRGGAGACTGGGCGACTTGGAGCAACAGCACAACACCGGATCAAGCTTTCCGCATTCATCAAGAGGTGGGTCCCAACAATCAATGGCTGGAAGGGGAAWTGTTTCCCRTCGTATCGCCYGGCGCCACAGTCAGCCCTCTAGACAAAGCAGTSAAAGTAGCAGTCRCTATCAGAAAGAAGGGGCTGAGGAAAATAAGGGTGATTGAGGATGATGAACTCACGGYGYYCGCTCCTACAAYGGCTATACAGGAACTCGAGATAGACCCGGCAGARTGGGCATGGAACATAAAGGGAAGAGTTTCAGGAATAACCACGAAAGTCAACATTCTGCGGTACACAACCAAACTGGGCTACAAAYTAAGACGGAGATCGATACAAACGGACCAACCCCTAGCCATCAGATGGGAAAAGYGCGARGGGATACCAAGAGGACGGGTGGAACAACTCCCCTGGCCAAGACTGCAAGCCACAAKATTAGGTAAGGTGAGAAGTCTACAWTGGCTTATCTTTCACGTCGCCCTCCCTGTTAACGCTTGGCTCTATGATAGGAGGAGCAGGCCAAGCAGGGTAGACGGTGAGCAGAATTGCACCTTGTGTACAGAAGGGATTCCGGAAACAATGAAACATTGCCTCATCTCCTGCTCAGTGGCGAAGCAGATATGGAAAGTGACACACACTCTCTGGGACAGGGTTACGGATATCCCCTTCCCCGTGGAGGAGAGGCAGCTACTGATTGGCACACAGGTACCCAGAGAATGGAACACAACTCACAGGTGTATCTTCGAGTTGCTGAGAACCTACACGCTTTGGACAGTATGGAGAAGAAGATGCCAAATGGTGGTGGGTAATGCAGGGTCCACAAATGAAGCCAAGGAAAATCCTGTATCACCTACTGGAGACGGATATCAGGGCCCAGTGGCAGAGGGTTAGAAAGCAAGCGGAAAAACAGCAGGAAACGAACCCGGAAAAGGCCAAGGAAATAATCACCATATTTCAGAATAGGGTCCTTGCTTCGGGCCGAGTAGCGACTCTGGAGGGGCAGACACTCCGTTTCCAATGGTTCAGAGAGAATCAGACGAAACTTCGCAGGACGCGGCGGGGCAGGAACTAGCGCTAGACCAACCCTAAAGACAAGCCCCTTAAGAGATGGGGAGGAGAGAGGCACAGACCCAGGGCAGAAATGATTCGCAAGAAGACGATCTCCTGAAGAATATTAACTTAAATGACGACCAGAAGCGTATTTTCTCGACCCTTGGCACAGATAAGGGAAGAAAGCTGGCAGCTACTGGTGGGGGTGGTGAAAAAGCAAGGCTGGAGAGAGCTGTAGCTTTGTCATTGAGCCAAACGAAGAAAAATGAAACAGGGCAGCAAGAGCAAGGCAAGGAGGAACCGGTGCGTGGAAAAGGGGCGACTGAAGCTTCTGGAAGCAGCGTGGCAAACACAAACACTGGAAGCGGTCCTGCTCTGAGCATCGTGGACATGGCGTCAGCTGCAGTCTATGGCAGGAGTGCAGACTGCGGCAAGGGTGGCCCTCCATGCAGCTGGCCAACGAGTTCCCGTCAATACGAAGCTTGTCAAGAGCCGCTTCACTACAGGACGAGTGGCGATGTCGTTTTCATCGACAACATTTGATCCATCAACAAAGAACGAGTTCGAGTACATTAAGGTTGAGAAGAATCCAAAGAAGAAGGGGTACGTGAGGCTGCATACGACCCATGGTGATCTGAACTTAGAGCTTCATTGTGATATTACCCCGCGTACATGTGAAAACTTCATCACGCATTGTGAGAATGGATATTACAACAATATTCTCTTCCATAGGAGCATTAAAAATTTCATGCCATTCAAAGATGAGCTCAATTCAAAGCTGCTTCATACTGGTCGTGGCATTGTCAGTATGGCGAACTCTGGACCTCACTCTAATGGCTCACAATTGACTCTCTTCTGTCTGGCCAGCTTCATCCTGTACAAATCTGCTCCGCACTTGAACTACAAGCACGCTGTGTTTGGACGGGTTGTTGGGGGACTGGAAACGCTGCGCGCGCTGGAGAGGGTGCCTGTTGACGACAATGATCGCCCACTGGAGGAAATCCGCATCACGGGCGTTACCATCTTTGTGAATCCGTACACGGAACTCGATGAAGATGAGGAGTCTGAGGCGGAAGCTGAGATGAAGAAACGCCAGGAGGCAGCGCTCGCAGAGGAAAATGAGAGGGCTGGTCAGTGGTACAGCAACCCAGTTAGCAGCAGTGTCAGCACTTCACAAGGCCGCATGGGTGTAGGTAAATATCTCAAGCTGCCAGAAGCCCAAGCATCAAGGGAAGAGAAAGTCAAGGGTGAGGAATCAACGACACAGAGCATGCCGCCGCCCAAGAGGAGGAGAGAAACTCCATCGGGAACAGCGTTTGGCAACTTTTCAGGCTGGTAGGGGGCACTCAAAATGTGGTGCTGCAGGAATCAAAGACGACAAGTCCGTTTGGTCGAAACTTGGGCCACCCAACCGTCGGATCACACTTTTTCAGGCATTATTATCGATGGTAGCCAGCAGTGCCTTTCAGGGAGGCAGCAAGACTAGCGAAGGCTACTGACTCGCATTGGTATCGCTGTCGCACAGTGCACACATATTYTCGCTGCRATGGTGTTTCTCGGCGCAACTATTGTCGATTATCAGCCTCGACTTCCCTCGTGGCTTCCTTGACCCCTGCCCGTTTCTCCGGTGTCTTAGTGCCAGCCTCTTGCGACTCACTCGCATTGATATCGCTGCCCGCACAGTGCACACATTTTTTCGCTGCAACGGTGTTTCTCAGAGCAACTCCTCTTGTTGATTATCAGCCTCGACTTCCTCTGCGCCTTCCTTAACCCCTGCCGGTTTCTCTGTTGCCTTAGTGCCAGCCACTCATCCGCTTACCCAGGGCTACCCTACGTTGCTGTGATTGCCCCTCCGTGCACAAAGGGAGGAGGGTTGACAACCCCTTTTGTCGAGATTGGGCCCGAAAGGCATGTTCTTGCCGAGTGCGGCATGGATTCTCTTCCCTAGCTGTAAGGGATCACACAAGCGTCATCATTAGCTCTTATCACTATGAGCGGTGGGAGGGGACTTCCTAGCCAGTACGACGATACTTCCCGTGCCGGGAAGGAGGGAGAGGAAGGGCATACGTCTATAAAGCAATAGCCTGTGGGCTCAGCTGCTCCAAGTCGAGAGAGGGAGGGCATATGTATGTCTATAAAGCAATAGCCTATGGACTCAGCTGTTCGGAATCCTTTGCCCCTGTGGTTGGTTAAAAAAAAAAAAAAAAAAAAAAAAAAAAAAAAAAAAATGAAGGACAGAAAAAATCACCAGACTTACACAGCAGCTGACGATGGAAGGAGCAGGAGAACAATCACACAGCTAAAATCACCACTAGTTTTTTTCTTTTTTCAAGTTTTTTTCCCCATACCTGATCGTCTGGAACCATCGGCAGGTCTGCTGGGCGCTTCATGAAAAAACAGAAGGGGAAGAGCAAAGCGCTGAGATGCAGCTTTAGCTTTTTTTTTCTCTTTTTTTTTTTTTCTTTCTTGCAGCTCTGGGTTAGTGATTAGATGACAGGTGCAGATTTTAAAAGTTCACACCAGCAGTTGCTTTTTAGCGTTATTTGGGACGTGTCCTTGGGGGCGTTGGCGCCCTGTGGCCACTGGTTGGGGATTTCTCTCAGGCCCGAAAAGGGACTGGGTGGCTCAAGTCCAGTACATCACTTAGAACAGTTCATGACAGGAAAGTTGAGGGAAAAAAGTTTAGAAAACAGAGTTAACAAGAGACAAGAGGGATGCATAGAAGGTTTCATTCATGTCCTTACACGAGTCAGGCACAAAAAGTCGTTGCAAAAAGTGACAGAATGATACGAGGATCATGATAGGTTTTCTTACAGAATTCTCGGCGGCCAATAAAAACGGAGTGGTGGTAGACAGTGAAGCATAGCTTGGGCCAACCATTCCATTGCTGTGCACTCAAGTGGAAGTCCAAGGGATGGCTCCACACTATCATTTCATCCTGATCAATGT